GTAGTGGTAGTGGTAGTGGTAGTGGTAGTGGTAGTGGTAGTGGTAGTGGTAGTGGTAGTGGTAGTGGTAGTGGTAGTGGCAGTGGTGGTAGTAGTAGTAGCCGCAGCAGCAGCAGGTTATCTAACTTCCACAGCTCATCTAACTTCTGAGTCACTGCCACCAGCTGTTCAGGAAGCAAATGAACATTCATACAAAAGTACATATATAATCTTTCGCCAGATCTTTCGCAAAAAAAAATACTTTCGCCAACTCGAGAAAAACTTTCGCCAAATGAGATTTGATATGTTCCGGGTCATCGTCATACACAATGCTGTCTAGGACCTTTAGATCGACAACCACACATGTCACGTACGTTTACATGTTTTATAAGGTTCAGTGGGATCATAAAAGTCTATTAAAGCCTATCAATATCTAGCAATTATATAGTATCATGATGTATCATGTACAATGTACATCATCAATCATCATCATACATCTCAACCAGTCCTCCAAATCTTTGACTTTGCCACCTGAAAGAAGTTGGTCTGCAAACACAACTGCCACAACTGCCCCAAACGAAAAATCACTGTTTGGGTCAGTGATTCTGCCGGTGAGTTATGGCACCAGATACCAAGAGACCAAACGGGCTTTGTCCCTACCGACGTACAAAAAGCTCCTTCGCGACTACATGGTGGACCACTGTGTTGTTGGTGGGTCACCCATCCAACGGTCTGATCTGCAGCTTTCAGCAACAGTCGTAGTGATGTCCCAGTATGTCGAAACCCAATTCCTGACCGTGTCGTCGACGACGAGCCGCTTTTTAAGGCGGGAGGCCCGACAAAGGCCGCTGCCGAAGGCTGGTCTTGAAACAGGCGAAGGTGGTCTGTTGTGGTGTCATTATACGGTACTCCAATGCTCTTTAAATACCCCTAAAGGTGTCCAAAAGAAAAATCAGTGCAAGAAACCACAGTTTTTGTTTGAACAACTCATGACTGGGAGTCCCATGAAAAACCTGTCCTCAAAAAGCATGCGGCGGTGCTTTTCGGAACACCGTTGGCTGGGACCAAACACCACAGTCACCACGGTTGGCTGAACGGTAGACACAAAGATCGGAGGCATGAGCGGACAGGTTTGGACTCGGTTAGTGGTAGCATCTGGGCCTATGTCCAACACAAACTTGCAGGTCCACTTGCAGGTACTTTGGAGGCCTTTTTCTAATTGAAACCACCCTACAGTACTGTGCCAAAAAGAACTACTAAGTAAATTACCTGCAAGTGTTCCCCATCAGTCCTAGGGTACTTCCTAGTGTAAGCAGGACTCTGTCCACTTGAATGTTGGTGGCCAAGCAGGTCAACCTTTTCGATCACTTCGCAAGTCTTTGCAAACATACGACGAACGACATATCCAGCAGTTCACGAAGACTCAGGGTATCCACTAGATCCACTCCACAACAAAAGAAATTCGGCATTCAATTGCATCATTAGCACTCGACAGAATATATAGATAGTGAATGACTGTGACATAGTATGAGAACATACGTAAGAAAAACGACACATAACACATAAACATCGAACACACACACACACCAAAAACGAACACACAAATCACTTCCGACCCTTCCCTTCAGACCGCGATTCCGGTGGCTTGGGCTGTCTCTGCCGCTCCACATACTTCGCGTAGAGAATGCCCTCTGAGACCAGGTGGAAGACCCTGACCGCACCGGCGTGCACGTGAAACGCATGCCAACGGCGACATCAACACCATCCAGTACTATGAACTGGTAAGAGGCAACATAGTAGTTGTGAGAAACAAACATATGTCTGCAACACACAAATTTGTCACAAAAAGTATCTTGAGGAACAGGCCCTGTGTCATGCTCTTTCTCTTTTCCAAACCCCAAAGTCTGTGTGGTGTTTCTTGTCACGGCTATTTTTTTAACGATAAGAACTCGGAAGGGGTAGGAGCGGTTTTCTGCACCTATGTAAAAGTGAAACATTCAGATCAAAGTCTAGCCCTGACTTGTATGGACGCCTTAGTGGCATCTGCATGGCCAACTGGTTTGACACTCAATGCTAGGATGACCTTCAACCTTTTTGGTTGACACATGGACACTGGGTACCCAGAAAAGGAAGACGAGCACCAGCCAACGTATACATCTTTCTGCATCTGTTTGGTCGGCACATGGTTGATGCATGGCAGCATGGTCACCGATCTCCGCGATGGTTTTCCTCATGTCCGTGATCAGCATGGCGCTTTTCCGAGGTCAACAGGCTGATTGAACCATTTTCTCGCGCGAACCGCTCACCGCCACCGTGCTTCTCCACAGCCAAGCGCTCAGTTCTGCTCAGCCAAGCGCTGGCTCCCCCAAACGAAAGATGCATGAGAAGGCATGCTTATAACAAAATAAAGCTTGGGGCATCACGATACAACCAGCGCTCTTTGTAGCAAGGGTTGATGCGGCCTTGAATGCCTTGAGCCGTTCATTCTGTGCAGAAAAGTCGAGATGCTTCTGACATTCCTCAGTCGTCACTTGGGCTTGCTATGAAAGCGTCGCTGAAAGCGGCTTTCTGAAAGAAATAACGCCGTAGATAGCTGAATATCCAAATGCCTTTCTGAAAGGACCGCCAAACGCTCAGCCAAACGTTGGTAGCTAAATGAAAGGATGCGAGGATATTTGCCGATGAGGGCAGCAGCTTCTGATTGACCAAGAGCGCTCGCCAGCAATGCTTGCTTTGGCTTCAACTGCTGCTCGATTCTATAGCCAAGGATCAAGGGGAAAGTGGCCAGTATATTCACCACTTGATCTTGGCCAAGCCCAATATCCAAAAGCCACTGCCTTGCAGGCTTGAAATTCTTCTCGATGCCAAAACCCAAGGCCCATGAAAAGGTGGCCACTACCTTTGCAACTTGAGCCTTGTTGAGTCCACTGTCCACAAACCATTGAACAGTGGGTTTTAAGTTCCGCTCCAGGTTGTAGGAAAGAATTGGCGGAAACGT